TTGACGAAGAGTGGAACTCTAAACACTTCACAAAGAAAACAACCACTAGGGAATAGTTGTTTGAAACTAGATATAAGTGCTAATATGATATCTCATCAACTATGAATGATCAAAGCACTTCATAATGATCTGTCTTCTTCACATTAGTGAACTACCATTCACCCTTATACTTAGATGAGTATTTTCTTCCAATCAAGAGAGAAACCTCAAGACAATACCCAACACAAAATTTTCAAGATCATACACCCGAAAGATGTTGTATCATCTTAGTAGGACATTATTCACCCTCATACCACCATTAGGAATAGTATTAGAGGAATACTACAACAAGGGGAATAAGCTAGACTTGATCATATTTTAGGTGTTCTTCCACCTCTTGCCTCTATCAACAGCCTTCTGCATTCTTTGAATCTATCATTAGTTACAGGAGTGTCACTACTGATCTCTCCTACCATCAGTCTCTTCTTCAAGTCAGCCCTTTGCAAAGAGTCTTTGTCCCATCTATTGGCTGTAGCCACAACAACATGGAGGAAGGATAGAGAATCTGGAGCAATCCTTCCCAACAGTAATTTCTATAAATCTTTACCATTTGATTTTTCTTTGACAGTGTTCATCCAGGCGGGTTTTGAAATTTTATCAACAATTAAGCTAACATATTTTTTCTCTACCAAGTTTGTTAGGCTGCTTGTATTCTACTCGTGCCAAATGAAGAGTCGCTGACCTCTTGTAAGTAACTCGATATTGCAACTTTGGATGAGACACCTCACCACAAACTTTGTCTTCCTTTGGTTGAATTGTCTTCGTACCTTTCAGGAGAAGCTGATCAAGTTTTTCCTTAGTAACTTTGTATCAACTTCTTTAGGCATCAAATATGTGGAGGAGAAATTTGTTTCTTTAGGACACCACAAGTAACAATTATCTTTGGATCTGATTGATTTCATGATGACTCTAATCTTCTCATCAGTTACCAGACACTCTGATGCAGTAAAGTGGACCTTGAAGCAATGGTCACATAGTTGACTGATGCTTATTAAATTAGCAGTTAGCCCTTTAACAAACAACACTTTATTAAGATCTGGTAAACTACTACAACTCATCTTTCCAGCATCTTTTATTTCACCTTTAGATCCATCTCCAAAAGTGACATAGATAGTGGGGACATGTTTAATATCCACAAGAAATTTCTTGACACCAGTCATGTGTCTAGAACAACCACTATCAAAATACCAATTCTCTTGTAGAAGTTCTGAGGGAGGTGTGAGCCATGAGCCCGTGAGTGTATTTCTTGAAAAACCTCTTAGACTCGGTTTTAACCTTGCCCGATCTTCTCCTATGGTGCGCAATAGGTTTGGGATATCCATGCAACTTGTAGCAAGAGAATTTTAAATGACTTAACTTTCCACAATAGTGGCATCTCCATTGCTGATTTACCCATCCATTTTACATCCTATGATATCTTTGCTGATGTTGAGACATATGGTTCAACATCTTCTGCTCTTGCTTCCTTGTTGGAGGTACACACTTCACTTCAGGTCTTTTTCCTTGATTGTCACAATCAAGATCCTTAATGCTTACAACATTATTCCAAATTAGAATAGTGGTTCCACCTAGAATAGTAGATCCATTATTTCCTGAGTGATTCTTCTGTTGTCCATGTTGATGTTGAAACTTTTCTTTTGACATTTTTTGTTCCAGTTCTTTCTTTGAACGGACAAATTTTACTTCACCCCTTTCGCCTTTATTCTTCATGGATTGATTGATATAGACAATTCCTTGAACAACTCCAATATTATTTCCAAACTTGATAATATTATCAATCATATCAAAACTGTCGTTGAGCATTCTTACAGACTTGGTCATATTATCAAGTTGTGACTTGAGCAAAAGAACTTCATCTTGTAATTCAGCTATGACAGTTAGGTGCTTTATTTTTTCAGCTTCTAGACCATAGATAATGGATAATTTCTCTTCTTTTTATGCCTCCAGTTGAGCAATAATGTTTTCTTGCATTTTTATCTCTTGAGCCCCCTCTTGACTTTCGAGGCATGCCTCCTAATAAAAGGTGACAAGATCTTCAGGTGTCAGGTCTCTATTGTTTCATTATCCGAATCATACATTCCAGACAGAGCTTTCACTTGCTTAGCAAACTCTTCTAAACTATCACTATCAGAGTCTTCTTCTGACCAGGACACAAACAAACCTTTCTTCTGCTTCTTGAGATGGGTGGGGCACTCTGATATAATGTAACCAAACCCCTCACATTCAAAACACTGAACTTCTTTTCCTCCAGAATCATAATTTTTAGTGATGTCGAGTGATTTGTCTTTGACATTTGATCTTGACTTCCAGTTAATTTTCTTCAACACTTTGTTGAATTGTTTTCCAAGTAACACAATGGCATTTGATACCCCTTCTTCAGTATCTAGGTCACACTCATCTTGTGGATCATCAATGTTGGAGACAAAGGTTATGCTCTTCTTTTTTTCAGAATTTTCACTGATCCCTAACTCAAAAGTCTGTCAGGATTGCATGAGCTCATCAACTTTCATGTTGTTTATGTCTTGAGCTTATTCAATGAAAGTCACCTTCATGTCAAACCTCTTAGGAAGAGACCTGAGAATCTTTCTCACCAGCTTTTCTTCAGACATCTTCTCCCCTAGAGCACTTAAGGTATTGGCTATCTCAATGATATTCATATGAAAATCATGAATACTTTCATCCTCTTTCATCCTTAAGTTCTCAAACTGAGAGGTGAGCAGTTGAAGTCTTGACATCTTCACCTTGGAGGTTACTTCATGAGAAATATTCAAGATCTCTCACGCTTCTTTGGTAATAGTGCAATTACTGATCAGCCTGAAGATATTCTTGTCCACACCATTAAATAAGACATTCAAAGCTTTGGAGTTTCCTTGAGATGATTCATCATCCTTATCATTCCAATCTTCTTCAGCTTTGTTCACGTCATTCTCCTTCCTATCCTCACCTACAACCTTTGGTGGAACCCATTCCTTGACAATAACTTTCCACGACTTGCTATCCATGGATTAAATGAAAGCCATCATACGAACTTTCCAATAATCATAATTGGTTCCATCAAGGATGGGTGGTCTGTTTCCAAATCCTCCTTCCTTGTCCATCACACCAGAAAGTATATTCCCTGAACCTCATCCAGAGTCAGAGCAGGATGCCTGCTCTGATACCAATTGAAATTCTGGTATTCAGATCACATATGTCCTAAAAGATGTTGAGACACATTTTTCTTAACAAACAAGAAATGACAAGATAAACAATAATCAAAGTGCATAAAAGTAAAGAACACACAAGATTGTTAACCTAGCTCGATGCAGACCAACACCTACTATGGGGGCTACCAAGCTAGGGACCAATTTAACTATTAATAATATCAATTCAAAGCTAAAGTCCATTGTTTACAACTTCTCACTTAATCACTACCCTCGCCTAACTTCTACCAAAGACTCACCTAGGTAAGAGACCCTTCTCAAATCCCTTCCAATCACAAACCAGTGACTAAACAATTCTAAACACTTAAAAATCACATAAGTCACACTTCAAAGACACACAATCATTCACTGCTTACAAGCTTTGGAATGATTGACAGAACTTACAACAAAAACAAAGTCATACTCTTTTATCCACATGATAATCGAGAGGCTCACAATAAGCACATAAACCCTAATCAAAATACAATGTAAGTTCATAAAAAATGACTAGGGTTGAAGCCTTCTATTTATAATCTTCATAAAATTGAATTTGGGCTTCACAAATTCAAGCTGGATAAGTAACAAGCGCTGCAGAATCATCTCCTCAAAGATAGAACATCAATCATTAGTTTCCTAAAATATCTCCATAATTAGTAACTAATCATTCTCCTTGAAATCAGCTTTAATCTTCTTCAGTCTTCAAAGTGAGTGCCACATAGAATAGTACAATCTTCACAGAATATTCTGCACTTGTAACAGATCAGAATATCCAAAAATCCAACTATTCATAAACACGATGTCGAAAGTACATGCATAGGACATCACATATGACATGTTGCTTTTGTACATAAAACATCTTTATTCAACATGTCAAAGCTAAGTTTGTTTTATCAAACATAATGCTAATCACAACAAAACAAAGAAATAACAAGAATGCTTAACAAGTTCTACAACGTGAGTATCACCACTCAAGTGGAAGAAACCTTCATCAATCTCTTCAATCTTTCTCCACATCCAGACACCACTATCGTCATAACCTCACTCCTTTACTATGCTCAGAGCTTCAAAGTTCGACCGTTTGTCTGAATCTTGGCCACTAACGATTGTTTCAACTCCTCCTCTGTAGAAAATAAAGCTTTCACAAACAAATTTTTCAGTGTAGTGAAATATTAAGTTGAACAGTACCATACCTAACCTAGTAAAATGGGCATGCAACAATCAACCATCAGTGTCAAAAATGTACAATTAAATAACTAATAAACTAAACGTACCTCTTAGCAATGAAGAAACTTTCACAAGTTAGCAATGGAGGCGAAGGAAACTTGGAGAAAACGATGAAGAATGTCGTAGTTTTATTCTAAATTTTGGGGGTAAACAAAATGTTAGAATGCGTTTTCATTTCATAATTTCAAATACTTAATATTTTAATTGTTTTAGTAATTAAAAAAAGAAATTAATAAGTTAAATATCATATTCATAAATATTTAAATGACATATGGACCATTACTTAAAATGCATAGTGAAAAATGTCACTCAGTCAATGTCACATTATCGTCTTATTTTACTCAATCTACTTAATGGCCAAAAAATAGAATCTTTAAAATGCAATATGAGAAGGGTTAAAATAGATATTTACCCTTAAATTTAAATAAGTTGGTTATTTAAAAAAATCAATACAATTAATATTTTTGATCTTGCACACTTGAGAAAAAATATAGTGGTTTTGAATAGATAAGGTAGAATTGTTGCAACTGTTGTGTTAGTTGTGCTGTGACAACAATGGCTTCTTCGCTCCATTGCTCTGTTTCACTTCCTTCCTCATTTCCAAAACTCTCTAACTTCAATACCAACAGCAACCAATTCTTTTCATTCAACCCATACAGTCATTCATCATCATCATCATCATCATCAATCAAATCATCAATCAAATCTACATCAACGTCACTTGAAGAAACCGCTATGAGCATTGATAACCTACGCACCTTCTTCAACCTTAATATCGGAAAATGGAACGGTTCTTTCTACGTAATTCATAACTTGAACATTTTGTTTTTGTTTCTTTATTCGATTCGATGGATTAGGGTTTTAATTTCAATTCATTATTTCTATCTGTTGTAGCAATTTGATGCTGTTGGGAACCTGTTGCAACAAGTCACTACTAAGCTTTCTGTTAGCTCTTATGGGGAAGCTGAACTAATGAGTCTCATTCAATCGTAAGTAATGATTACCTTCTTTTTTTTTTTTGTGATTCATCTATGTTTACTCAAATTATGGATTGATTTTGATTGATTCTGAGTGAATTGATTATGTAAAACTGATTGTGGTTTAAAGTGAGATGCTATTTGAAGTGTGTTTCAAAGCCAATTCTTTGCATCTATCTTACTTTTGTGGTTTTCATATATAAAACGAAGTTGTAAATTGTACAGACTTTGTTCCCTGCAGGTTGTATATTAAACAACCTTCATCAAACACTTCAGTTGCCGGAGATGACAATGATACGGAATGGGCAGAGTACAAAATTAAAGAAACCAATATGTTTACTGTGGACAAGTATCAGCAAGTGAGACTTTATTCTAACACTGTAAAGTTGGAGTGTAATCCATAATAATTTTCTTTTTTCTTTGTGATTCCAATGCTTCTTTAAAATATCCATGACAATTAGTTTGCAGATAGGCTTTTTCCCATCCGAGAAAGCATTTGCATTGAGGTACCAAACAGCTGGTATGTTGGAAACTGTATTACGGCAAGGAGTTCTCGGAGAAGATGACACCGGTGAAGAATCACCTAGGTAAGTGCTTCGTTCCTGAGAAGAGACCAATTAGCACTGTTTCATTGATCTCCACATATGTAAAGAGATCATTGTCTTTACAACTCCTTATGTTGCAGAAATCTCAAAATTCCCTCTCGCCGACCTTCTATTGTATGTGAGAATTGCCTCTACTCTCTACAGAGAGATATGCGAGCGAGAGCCTTTCACATTTTGGAGCCAAAAGGAACTGTTGATATGCTTATAATCTTCCTAGAGGAAAGAAGTGAGGGGTCTCATCCTCTACTCGACAATGCTGGGGTGAGTAAGCTAAGATATATGCAGATTTTGTGTGTGTTTGTTTATATCTACTGCAAATTTTCCTTTATCCGTCATTTTGAATTCATGTCAGGACACGACGAATAGGATTACACCATTTCTCGGTAAATGGAAAGGTCATTCCATAACCAAACGAAGTGGGGTCTATGGATCTACAATATCTGAAGCTGATACAGTTGTGTTACATGAGATGGATGACAATGACCAACTCATTCAGGTATTTTACATCCTGATAACTCTTGCTGATTCGTAGCTACACTGAAATTGCAGCTCCGTACAATTCTTTTAGCACTTTCTCAAAGTTTTTTTTGTTGTTGATGCTACTATTGAATACTAGGATGTTACTTCTACATTCGTCGGGGAGAATGTGACTACCAATGTTCACTGGACTGGAACAGTATCAGACAATTTAGTCACATTTGATGGAGGTTATCAGATGATACTATTACCTGGTGGCATGTACGTGGGATCTCCTTGTGATGTTTCAAAAAGTGTAGCACAGTCGAAATCTTTCCATTTGGAGTTCTGTTGGTTAGAGACACCTGACAAGAGGCAAAGACTGGTTAGAACATTCGATATCGAAGGCTTGGCTGTCTCATCTACTTATTTTTATGAAACAAAATTGTTAAGTTAAAGTCTTCATTATCTTTATCACCATCTGTAGCTTAAATAGTTCTGATTGTGAAGATGAACCATGTAATACTCATTTTTATTTGCATAATTTTGATCCATTGTTTGAATATGATTGTTTAAAAAAACATTCATAACTAGTAAAGGACCCGTGCGTTCGCACGCGTCGCACAAAATCAATATAAATAATTAAATAAATGGTTAAATGCATTTTACCCCTGTAATAGTAGCGATTTTTGATTTATCCCCTTTTAAAAAAAAATTCTTTTTACCCCTTAACAAATATAGATTTCAAAATAGAAAACTTTACCGCCTAAGATTCCATTTGAATTTTTGATGTGGCATGTGACACTCTTGTTGACTGTATAATTAAATGCCATCTTGACTTTTTTAAAATATTTTTAATAAATAGACTTTCCTAAATCAAATTAATTATCAAAATATATTATTTAAGCTTAAGCACATTTTTGATTTACTTGATTAAAGGTCCATTTACCCATTCCCGTCCATTTTCAATTTATTTAATATTGTGTGTCTTTGTTATATAAACACAGCTCTGCAAACGTGAAAACAAAAACCAAAGGGAATCTTGAGCGAATCTTGGGCGGTAAGATTTTCTGTTTTGGAATCTATATTTATTAAGGGGCTAAAAGAAAGAATAGTAAACAAATTTGTGTATTCACCCATCATTGTCTCATGGTTTTTTTATAAAAACAAATATTTGTATCATTTTTTAGTATAAATGTTAACATTTTATCATTAAAAAAATTAATATTTTTTCAAGTCAATTTTATTTTTTCTTGAATCATGTCATAATTAAGTAGTCATTTATCCGTGTCTTCGCACGAGTCACGCAAAGTCGATATAAATATTAAATAAATATTATGTAGTTATTGTTAAGAAATGTATATAAAAATATATACTAATTAAAAGAAAAAAAACTTTCAATGACTGTCACACAAATATTAATTTAATTTATCAAATTGTAGTGATTATCAGAATATACATATAAGTAATATTGAAAATTATATTAGTATATGGTCTAGTATACTTCACACACATAAATATCAAATCGATTATCTACCAGTGCAGTCGCATGAGTTGCATAATATCGTTATAAATAATAAATAAATATAATATAATAATAAATTTAAGAATATTACAAAATAATATATAAAATATAATATTTTTATTTATAGTAAATATACTATAAAAATTGAATTTGAGGTAAAAAATAATTGTAACTACAAAACGGAATAATATGTTCTATTAAAATTTTATTTTCTTCATGATCTTGGCCTAAGCAAATTTAAACATATTTTAAAACAAAAACAATTTTATTTATATGGCTGAAACATTCATTTTTTTTAAAAGAGCAACTCATCCAACCAAAAAATTAAATCCTTTTTAAAATAAAAATAAAATTTTTAAATTCTTTTAAAATTAAAATCGATAATAATTAAATAGATTTAATCAATTCAATCACATTTTATATATATATATATATATTGAACCACTTGGTTGACTCCAAGTGCTCTCAAAGCCAAATAAGTTGCTTTATGTCGTGATTTTGCTCCAAACGTTGTACCCTGCATTTCATTTAAATCTTAGTATTCTGCAAGTTGTGAATTCAACTCAAACATATAAAAGAACAACAATTCCAAGTAAAGAGAAGCTAAATTTAGCTCCCACATGCATACTTCTCTAAATCCATATCCCAGAAAAGAAAAACAAAGTATTCAACATCACACAAACAATACCTGATACAAACCAAATGGAAAAACATAGAAATCTAATTGAAAAGAAAAATAAAACTTCTCATTAAAAACAAAATCATAAATAATCACCTCAATTCAATTCTCCAATAATCATCTTCTACGCATGATGAATTGGCATGTGAAATTAAACAGAAAACAAAATTAAAAATTCTACTCTAGTGGTAACATAATCTAGCAGCGAAAACGTAAAAGAAAAAGGGATTTATTGAAGAACGCAAAATTATATATATATATATATATATATATATATATATATATATATATATATATATATATATATATATATATATATATATATATATATATATATATATATATATATAAAAAAGGAATAATTAGTATAAGCTAAAAAAGTGCAGAGATATTTCATGATTGAAAATGGATTTTTTCAAATTACATTTATTTTTGGAATTATAACATCATCAAATCATTGTGAATTGGAAATATTAATCGTAAATGAAGAACAAATCAGTATTTAATCTTGACGGTTGATCAGAATCTGAAGTGGTACGAGAAGATGACGTATGCTTAGCTAGAAATTTGAGGAGAGGGGAGGGTGTACCTGCAAGACACTCTAACGCTCAAGTAAGAAAGAGTGCAAAGATTAGGATTTTTAGAGTGAATATTGGATACATGGCCCTCACAAGTGTGGGGGTTTATATAGTGCCCCCGACACTTGGCCATTGATCTCTATTTTTGGGTCTAGATACTAGATTCCTCAAAAATAGGTAACCGCCAGGACCTAGTCAAAACGGGCAGCCATGCTCGTAACTAGTCGTTGCTCCAAGCAAGGCAGAGGTTATGGACGTTTTATGGTTGTCTGCTCCGCGCGTGTCGAGCTGACCTAGAGTTAGTTGTTGGTGCGGATAGGCGCATGGCTCAGGGCATCGTTAGTCTCTTTACTCATGGGGTGCAATCGACCAAGTGTGCCTGACCAAGAGCCAAAGCTAATGGGCCAAAGTTGTTGGGTCATGTTAAAGGTAGAAGCGGATTAGGCTATGGGTGTTCAAAACCAAACCGGCCCAATAGAAAATCACAAAATTTAACCAAACCAAATAGAAACCGCAAAAAACCACATTTGATTCGGATGTGTTTGGTTTGCGGTTTGTATTTTGCAAACCAAACCAAACCGCATTATGTTATTAAATCTTACTAACCAATATATATTTCTTTAATTCTATAGAGAAATAAATTTGTATTATGTGTATATTTTATCATATTCTTTGTATGGTATTTATTTTAATTTACAAATCATAAAAAATGAAACATTATTCATTTATAAATACTATTTTCATAAAATATATTTTATCATATTTTTTGTATACTATTTATTTAAGAATGCAATCTTATGTATATCATTATTTAGATTTTGAAAAAATTATAATACGCAATTTTATGTATCAAATTATAAATATATTTTGATAATTATAAATTTTTTATGGTAATGTACGAAAGATTAAACACAAAATTATATTTTTCTCTATATGTGTATGTATGGTTCAATAATTTTTTTTTGTTAAAAACCAAACCAACCGAACCAATCCAAACCGCATTAGTTTGGTTTGGTTTTATTTTTAAAAGTCAACTGAACTAAACCGAACCGCATGATTTTTTTCTTTTGAGGTTCGAATGATTTTTTGCTTCAAAATCGCCCAAACCGCACAACGAACACCCTTAGATTAGGCCAATTCTAGTCATTGGGTCATTCCAGAAAAGGAGCCCTCCAAGTCATTGCTTCTGGGCAGAGGAGTGATGACTTAAGACGTGCCCTCGAGCAGGGGACGTTTCGTGATTTCAGGGACAATTTCGTATGAGGAGCTCGAGCGTTATTTCGAGCGTTCGACTAGCGGGGAGAGGAACAACTATTTGGATCTAAGGAGTTTGCGTGCCACGCTTGCATCGAGCCATGTGATGTCATTAATGCATAATGATGGCAAGTATAGGGACTATGGCATAATGATGACGACCCCTAGGCTTCCCTAGGCGCGTGTCCGCTCACGTGCTAGTAAAGCTGCCTATAAATGGGGGAGAGGAAGCTTCATTTGCACTTTTCGCTTGCTTCCTCCTGCTCAGTCCTTCTCATCTCTACAACACATCACTTTCCACCATCGAAGCTTCTGCTCGTCAGCCGCTGATCGATAAAATAGAAAGTGTACTACTTTGCCTATGCAGTAATAAAGAGAAAATTCCCCGAATGTCGATCTCAAGGACTGCGTAGAAATATCGAGTCAAATTATTGTTCAATTAAACAAAAACTAGCATTTGGATTGATTTTTCAGAATTAGGAAACCAATTGCGAGTAAAGTAAATAAATATGGTGAAGAGTTCTGACAGGTATGAGTAACATGCTAAAGAGGGTGTGGGATTTTTTCCTGTAACAACTTTGAACTATCATTGTGTTGTACCCCAAAATTTGCCCTCCTCTTTTTCCACAAGAAATCACAACTTCGGGCTTTTCCTGATTTTTCAGACTGGCTCAAGAATCGGTCAAACAGACTTTTCTTGTCAGTCAGACAAAATTTAGAGTTTTCATTGATTTTAAAGCATTTCAAGCAGATTGTTAAGGTTTGGTTGAGTTGGCTCAGGTTTTGATCAGGCGGACGCTTCTCTGACAATTAAGACAAGAATCAGGGTTTTGTACGCGCATTCTCAGAAAGAATTAATTTTACAGTTCTTTTCAGTTTACTCTGAGATTTGGATTGAAGCATTTGAATTGAGAACTTGCAGTGTTTTGTTTAATCAGTAAAGGCATATGGACGTTTGTTTGATTTGACTGTGCATTGCTGTGGCTATTTGAAACGTCAGGTTTATTATTGATTGATGCTAAGACCACAGTGTTTATTAATTGTTTATTTATTCTAAGTTAGAATAATTGGAATTTATTTCCATTTTATTATAATTTAAGAATTATAAATAATTAAATAAACGGTTGAAGAAGAAAAAGAATTAACTGATCAAAAAGGATTTTTTTTATTCATCTTTAATTGTTTTGTTACAAATTATTATTTGAACAACTGTAAATTTATTTACATTTTTGTTTACAATAATAATTTTACAAATGATTAAAATTGAAATAAAGCTATCCTAATTATCCTAAATCTTCATCCTCTATCTGATGCTCCCTTGTTGCTCAATTATTGTTTTTACCTGCAAAAGAAAAAGAAAAAAGTCAAAAGCAGATGAATTGAAATTAAGAGCAGACAGTTAATTCAAAAGTCATCATTAA